TTATAAAGCTTTGTTTGATTTTCTCCTGCTAGTCGGTCTCATGTCTTAAAATTTAATTTGTAGCCCAGCTGGAAAGGACCCAGAGTGGGTAGAGGACAGTCTTCCTCCCCTTCAGTTCCAAGCTCCCAGGCACTTCACAAAAACCAGGCCCCAGCCTGAGTCCCTTGGGTGGCATCTTTGCTCTCTGCTGTAAGACTCGGAGATTCTTCTGAAATCGGATTCATGAAGATCTCCTGCATCGGCTTGTGCTGTTGTTTTCTATTCTTCTCTTGGCGGATGCATGGAGCTCTAACTAGTTCCAGAATGTTCCTACCACTGGCCTGTCCACCTTGCTCCCCTACTGTGAACTCGAGCTGGGGGAGAGGGTTGTTTGCAATCTGGGTGCCCCCTGTGCAGGTCACCTCCGGCTCCCTGAGACCTGCGTCCTCACCTTCCTCCTTTGGCTTGGGTGGTGCAGGGGCCCATCTCTGAGCTCTGGCAGCCTTCCCTCCTGTCTGGTACTTTGGAGTTTCTGCTTTCTCCTATTTCACTACAGATGGAGTTTGCATTTCTGTTTATTGTTCTCTCACTGCTTTTGGGAGGGGCATATACTTGTCATGGGCTGGTGGCTCTGTCTGGACTGGCTTACGGCCCTGGCAGCTCCTTCTCACCAGGGAAAAACCAAGCAGCTTCAGAAGCAGGAGCCAGACAGGAAATCTCTCGGGTTGCACCTCTTTTCTTTCCTGTGTTTTTCAATATTTCCTCCATTTTCTTGTCCTTTTATCTTATTTTTGTGATTTTGTCATTCAAAATCTAAAGTGGTAACAACGTCTTGTGTGAGGTCTCAGCAATCCCCTGGCCACATGGACACTCCCTCCCCAGAGGCTGAGCAGAGCTGAGAAGGGTGTGATATCCTCCACCTTTGAAGACATACCAGGGCCTGACCTGAGTCCAGTAGAGGCCAGAGAAGGGCCTGGAAGGATGGGTCACCTGTTCCAAGGCCTGGGGAGATGGGACGTGTGAGGGGTCCGTGGCGCGAGAGCATGGTTCCTCGTTGATGACACTTGAAGCAACTGCAGAGCTGCTGCACTTTCAGTGAACACGTGGAGTCTTAGTGAGAGGTTCCGCTTGTGTTCACGCCGTGTCTGGTCCACATAGGGCTGGTGGAAACACGGGTGGGCTCACAGGGGCTCCTTTACTTGGTAACATAGTGTCAATGTGCAAGGCTAGAAACGGGCTGGTGTGGGTTCTAGGGCCAGCAATCTGGGGATTCATGCAGCATGGTTGAGTGTTGTTAAAGGCCGTTTGGGAAGTGTTAAGGTTGTGGACATTTTGGAATTTGATTGTGTGTTAGGGGAGGTAATGCTCGTTTGTAACGAACAACGCCAAGTTCCAATGATGTGACACTGATGCTGGCAGGCGGGGGTGGGGCTCTGCCCCCTGTTGTCAATCAAGGGTCGCGTGCCGTCCAGCCGGGATCTAGGCCACAAGGAGTTCTCCACTGCCTTGTCTGCACCTGGCCAGCAGGTGGTGAGTAAGCAAGGAGAGTGGGGAGACCCAGTCATATCTGCTCACTGTAAAACATTTAAACCAGACAGAAGCATATAAAATACAGAGTCACATCAGAGACATCTACTATTAAGAGTTTAGACTTTATCCGCCCAGACTGTCTACTTATTCCTATTTAGATGCATATGTATATCAATTACTATATATCCAGATACATTAAAACCCAAGCAGAGGAAGGATGCCTTGCTCATGCTCTTTTTGGTAGCACAGAAGCAGCTCCCTGGGGAGGGTGAAGGGGCCAGCACTACTACCTGGGACAGCTGTCCTGCCACCCATCTGCTCACTAACCTCCACAGCCCTCTTCCCCTGTTCTTGTTGCTCCAGACACCAAATTCCCCAGGGACAGGGGCACTTCTAGAGGCTAATTTATTTATTTATTTTTTATTGAGGTAACATTGGTTTATAACATTACATAAATTTCAGGTGTACATCATGTTTCAATTTCTCTGTAGATTACATCATGTTCATCACCCAAAGACTAATTACCATCCATCACCCCACACATGCGCGAATCACTCCTTTCTCCCTCCTCCCTCCCCCCTTCCCTTCTGGTAACCACCAATCCAATCTCTGTCTCTATGTGTTTGTTTGTTGTTGTTTTTATCTTCTATTTATGAGTGAGATCATACGGTATTTGACTTTCTGTCTCTGATGTATTTTGCTTAGCATAATAGCCTCAAGGTCCTTCCATGTTGTCACAAATGGCCAGATTTCATCGTTTCTTATGGCTGAGTAGTATTCCATTGTGTATATATACCACATCTTCTTTATCCATTCGTCCCTTGATGAGTATTTAGGTTGCATCCAAGTCTTGGCTATTGTGAATAATGCTGCAATGAACATAGGGGTGCATGTATCTTTATGCATTGGTGTTTTCATGCTCTTTGGATAAATACCCAGCAGTGGACTAGCTGGATCGTATGGTAGTTCTATTCTTAATTTTTTGAGGAATCTCCATACTGTTTTCCATAGTGGCTGCACCAGTTTGCACTCCCACCAGCAGTTTATGAGAGTTCCCTTTTCTCCACATCCTCTCTAATACTTGTTATTTCTTGTCTTATTAATTATAGCCATTTAGATGGGTGTAGTGATATCTTCTTGTAGTTTTGATTTGCATTTCCCTAATAATTAGTGATATTGAACATGTTTTCGTGTGCCTGTTGGCCATCTGTCTATCTTCTTTGGAAAAATGTCTGTTCAGATCTTTTGCCCATTTTTTAATTGGGTTGTTAGTTTTTTTGCTGTTGACATGTTTGAGTTCTTTATATGTTTTGGATTGCTAAGACTGATGTCAAAGAGCATACTGCCTATGTTTTCTTCTAGGAGTTTTATGGTTTCAGGTCTTACATTCAAGTCTTTAATCCATTTTGAGTTAATTTTTGTGTATGGTGTAAGATAATGGTCTACTTTCATTCTTTTGCATGTGGCTGTCCAGTTTTCCCAACACCATTTATTGAAGAGACTTTCCTTTCTTTATTGTATGGTCTTGGCTCCCTTATTGAAAATTAGCTGTCCATAGATCTGTGAGTTTGTTTCTGGGCTCTCAATTTTGTTCCATTGATCTGTATCTGTTTTTGTGCCAGTACCATGCTGTTTTGATTACTATAGCTTTTAGTATATTTTGAAATCAGGGAGTGTGATACCTCCAGCTTGGTTCTTTTTTCTCAGGATTCCTTTGGCTATTCAGGGTCTTTTGTTGTTCCATATAAATTTTAGGATACTTTGTTCTATTTCTATGAAAAATGTTGTTGGGACTTTGATAGGGACTGCATTGAATCTGTAGATTGCTTTAGGAAGTAGGGAAATTTTAACTATGTTAATTCTTCCAATCCAAGAGCATGGAATATCTTTCCATTTCTTTGTGTCTTCCTCAATTTCTTTCAACAATGTTTTATAGTTTTCAGGTACAGGTCTTTCACCTCTTTGGTTAAATTTATTCCTAGGCATTTTATTCTTTTTGTTGCAATTGTAAATGGGATTGTATTTGTAATTTCTCTTTCTGGACTTAGTTCGTTGTTAGTGTATAGAAATGCAAATGATTTTTGTATGTTGATTTTGTATCCTCAACTTTACCATATTCATTTATTAGTTCTAAAAGTTTTTTGGTGGATTTTCTAGGGTTTTCTATATATAAAATCATGTCATCTGCAAATAGTGACAGTTTCACTTCTTCCTTTCCAATTTGGATCCCATTTATTTCTTTTTCTTGCCTGATTGCTCTGGCTAGGACTTCCAACACTATGTTAAATAAGAGTGGTGAACGTGGGCATCCTTGTCTGGTTCCTGTTCTTAGAGGGACAGCACTTAGTTTTTCCCCATTGAGTCTGATGTTAGCTGTGGGTTTGTTATACATGGCCTTTATTATGTTGAGGTACTTTCCTTCCATAGCCATTCTATTCAGAGTATTCATCATAAATGGACACATGCGTGGAGGGACCCCTGGAACCACCTGACGACCCGTGGGCCTCCGACCCTCCCCTCCATCCCCATCCCTGTCCCCACAAAGGGTGACGCCCCCAACCGGGCCCTCCCCTGTCCCCACGAGGGGACATCCCCAGGCCTGCGCTGATCGCGGGTCGCGACAAGACCCTATCCTCCGCTCTCGGTGGTGTCGCGCCGCGTCTACACCGTCCCTCGCCTGTAGACAGGTGGAGACGCGTCCACGTGGGCGCGCCTGGCCCTAAAGGAATTTCCTAACCCAGGCCGGGAGGGCCGGCAGAGCAGCGTCCACTGGGCGGCCCGAGCGCCGCCGCCGCGACCCCCGACCCCGGACCTGGTCCCGGGCGCCCCACCTCCCCATGCTCTGCCGGCGCGCTCTAGGACCCCGGGGCGCCCGCCCCGCCGCTCCTGTGGGCTGGGCCCCGGCACTGTTACGTCACGCCGAGGCGGGGCCCCGGCGCGCGGACGGACAGACGGACGGAGGACGGGTCGCGGCCGACGGAGCGGGCGGAGCCGGCGCGGGCGCGGCGGGTAAGGGTCGGGGCCGGCGTCGGTGCGCGCGGAGCGCCAGGACAGAGCCGCCCCCCCCCCCCAGACCGAGCGATCCCCCCACCCTCCACCCCCGGGGCCCCCAGGGCCGTGCGCGCCCTCCCCAGGACCGAGTACCCCGGACTGAGCCCCCGGGACCGAGCCCCCCGGACCGAGCGCTCCCTGCACTCCCGCCCCCCGCGGCCGTGCGCCCCTTCCCCAGGACCGAGTCCTCCCAGCCCCCAACCCTTCCCCCGGAGCCCCCAGCACCGAGCTACCCCTCCCCGGACCGAGTCCCCCGCGGAGGCTGGTGCGCGCGCCGAGGCTCCGGAGCCGCCCGGGCCGGGGCAGTCGTGCCCAGCCGTGAAGCCCGCGCTGCGCCCAGGGCGCGGCCTCGGCCTCCGGCTGCCCCGCGGAGCGCGGCCCAGCCTGCCGCGAGCCCGGCCCGAGCTCTCCCGTCTCCTCCCTCGCCAGGCTCCGGCGCGGCGACTGCACGGCGTAGCCGCGGCCCCGTGGGGATGACGGTCAGCGCGCGTTCCCGGAGCGCGTGAGAGCGGAGGGGACTTGGCCCGGTGGACGTCGGCCGCTGGCGGGCGACACAGGTGTTCGGGATGGAAGCGGAAGGCTTGGATTGGCTTTTGGTCCCGCTGCACCGGCTGGTGTCCTGGGGGGCCGCCGGGGCCATGGTGTTTGGAGGGGTGGTGCCGTACATCCCGCAGTACAGGGACATCCGGAGGACTCAGAACGCCGAGGGCTTCTCCACCTACGTGTGTCTGGTGCTCCTGGTGGCCAATATTTTACGGATTCTTTTCTGGTAAGTTGGCACCTTTCTTACTGTGGGGTGCTTCCAGAGAGATGAGATGGCTTTCTCCTTCTGGGTTTCTTAGTGAGGCCAGGGGGGTGGAAGTGTCTGTACTTCCTAAGAAGTTGCTGGTGAAATGGATGAGGTTATTTCCCAGGGAAATGGTGGGATTGCTTTGGAGGGGGTGGGATTACATGTAATCTAAGGTCTGCGTCTTGGTTTCCCATGGCTCTTACCTCCTCAGATACTTCCCGGGCCTTCTCGGTCACTGCCCTCTGGGAATTGGCCAGGGGGGAGGGGAGAGAGACCGGACTGAACAAGTGTCAGAGTAACTGAAAGTGGTGAGCACCCGCCAGTGGAACCCCTCAAGAAGGGGCAGGGGAGTCTGGAGGGAGGCATGCTCGCGGCTGTCCACTTCAATCTTCTCTGTGGTGTGTGTAGTTTTGTTTTTTTTTAGATAGGAAGTCTACTTTCTGGATAATACTTGAGACTGTTTTTTTTTTTTTTTGCTCCTCCCAGCCCAACTTTCTCTTATCATTATTTACATTGTGGTAGGAAATTGAAATTAATTTTGACAGTTGCTGAAGCCAGACATAATTAGGAGGGTGAGTTTTCAGAGGAATGAAAAGAGGTCTTATAGCTTCATTCTAAGGCCAAAAAAGTCTGGAACTTTCCTTCCTTCTGGACGGTCCCAGGCCACTCTGTCAGCACAGAGAGGGAGGAAGTTGCTCAGGAGGACAGCCTGGTGAAGAGGTAGGGACAGGGGCTCCGGGCAGCTGGTGTCTGGAGCTCCGCTTCTGGACTCTTCTTTTGACTTTTTGGTCACTGTTGGAGTAATCATGCTTTTTGGCAAACTGGTTTTTAAGTCAACCTTATCGAGGTATGATTTGTATTAAGTAAAATCCCCTGTTTTAAGCGTACATTTCGATGTCCCCTTTGTAATCTCCATCACTATGAAGATGTGAATTTCCTGAGCCCAGACTTCTCTCTCCTTTGCATTCTGTCCGGCAAACCCCTTGATTCACTTCCTGTGTGTTAGTTTTGCCCCTGTCTGGGGTTTTTAAAAGATGAGCTGGTGAGTCCACTCCTCCTCTGGAGATTTTGTCACCTCAAGAGGTTCGTCTCTGGGCCAGGCTACTTCTGAGGGAGGGGTCAGTGGGTGCTTATTTTTGTTTAGCACGAGTTGAAAAACTGCATTTTGAAGGTTCCTCTTTTCCATTTGACTGAGGCCAGAGATCGTCCACAGCAGTGTGACATGTGGCTTCCCTTTTCTAAAATGGCCTTAATTAAGTTTAAGGTTGAACAGAAGTAGGTCCCAAACTATAATTGTGTGTGACGCCATTGTTAACTTTGCACACACTGTGTGTGGGGGTGGGGGGGTTCGGTGCCCAGGGAGTGCCCAGGCCAGGCAACTGCCCAGGCTCACGGAGTTAGGTTGGGAAGCAGCATTTCCTTTAGGTTGTGAAATAAGTTTCCTCCAAACCGTGGAGGACAGCTGCCTGAGGTTGGATGACCTTATGGGAAAAAAGTTCCGCATAGAGGTCTTTTTCCCCCATTACGCTTATCATTCAATATTGCAAAAAGAAAATAGAATATCTAATCTACATTTAACTATCTGGTTTGGAGAAGTCAGAAATTAAACCAGTTTCTTGAATGTCAGTGCCCCTGAATTTGACTGGCATTTGGATCTAGGAGTTCTTTCCTTGCTGCAGGGCCTGAGCCTTTGAGAAAGAGTCTTGAGCTCTTTCCTAATGCTGCATAGGGTGGCCTCCTGTGGGATTCTAAACTTGGTCCACCAGTGAGTGTTTCTGCACATCCAATCCGTCCTTTCCTATAGAGTCAGTCTCCTGAGCTGTTCTGGGTCACTTCAGGGGTTCTGTGGCTGCCTTGTGAACACATAGGACTGCCTTTAGCCAGCATTCCAAAGCTGTGGAAATGTGTGGGATAAAGGGAAGGCTGCTTGAGGGTCTCTCTGGCCTGGGGTCACACTTTCCCTGCATTTCACACAGAGCAGTACTTTCGGTTCACGTGGTGAAGCCCAGCAGACAGGCTGGGTTCTGTCTGACTTGTAACTGATGTGCACCTCTCTGCCCACCTGGTCCCAGGATCTCACTTTCTGAAGGTGGTGCAGACGCTCCTTTTTATTCCCCTTTCTGGAGCCTCTTAAGTCCCTACTCTTAGTCCTTCCTCCATTTGATTTAATAGGTTTTTGAGGGTTTCCCATGTGCCAGACACTGGGCCAGATGCTGCAGGGTCTACACTTCCACAGAAGCAGTGTATGGAATGTATCATGCACACATATGAGAATTATGGATGATTGGGGGAGGGACAGCACGGGTAAGCAGCTGTGGCAGGCTCCAGGTGAGCTGGGAGCTGGGTCTATGCTAGAACAGTGGTGGCATTACAATAACTGAAGAGTGCCTTTCCCAAAGCTGGCCAGGTGCAGTCCTCAGAGCTCCAGTCTCTCTGGGAAGTCCCCTTGGAGATTTTTGGTGCAAGGCATGTGAGTGGCTCTGTAGTCCTGCAGGAGGGGCCAACCAAACTGTGTAAACCCAGGGTTTCTGAAACTTATGGAACTCTAATGACCTTATTTCTTATAGTCCTTATCATCCTTTTGCAAAACTAGCATTCAGCAGATCATACTCCATAAAATGCTGATGTATAGGATTTGGCCTTTGTGGTGTCAGAAGCCAGGAGAAGAGCTAAGTGATGCCTCATAGCTAAGATTGGCAGGCTTGTGATTTTGTAGAGAAGGGAAGGGAGGGGGCCAGGGTGTGTGGACAGTGCTGCAGGGCCTTGTGACCTAGAGCCTCATGCTTTCCTGGAGATGGTTCTCAAGCTCTAGCCCTATGGGATAAAAATACTATATCAGAGATGTAGTAACATTGTATCAGAAATGTGGTAACACTGTATCAGAGATGCAGACACACTGTATCAGAGATATAGTAACATTGTAGCAGAGATGTGGTGACATGTATCAGAGATGTGGTAACATTGTATCAAAGATCTAGTAACAGTCTGCTACTAAGTGTGATAACAGTCAGTGCAGCACAGGGAAGTAGATACATAACTTTCTTCCCCTTGAGCTTTTCTCTGTTACTTTGAAGAGGAGGAGAAGGTGTACCTTGTAGAAATTTTGCTTGGACTTGGTCAAACATTGCACATCCTCTGCAATTTGTATCTCCCTGGGGGTGAGACACATGTATGTTGCAACCCAGGGAGAACCTACTTAGACTGGCTTCTCTGAGCAGCAGGCCCCATACTTGACTGGTGGGCTGTCCCATCATTTGCTGATAGAAGAGGCTGTGCCAGCCCATATTCTCAGGGGCTGGAGAGGAAAAAGTGCTCTCGTGATATCCCTGCCAGCACAGACTATTAGCATTAAAGGAAGAAGAAGTTTAACCAATTTGACGAGTAAAAAGTGGTATCTTTCTATCTTAATTAGCTTTTAAAAATTACTAATGACGTTGAACTTTGTTTTTTCCCTTAGATATCTTTTGTGAAAAGCTGTGCTTTTTGAAATTTTGTGTCTTGCTTAGCCTGTCTTCACAATAAAATCAGTTAATATTCACTTCACTCTCTCTCACTTCACTTCAAATGTCTCATTTCTTACTGTAAATATTGAGTTCACTTAGATTTGACTTATGGTGTGTGGTATAAAGGGAAGCCCAAACCTTGATATTTTTTCTCACAGTTTTTCTAGTCACTCATTGTTTCTGTTGAACATTTTAAAAATGGAAGTGGGGCCGGCCCCGTGGCTTAGCGGTTAAGTGCGCGCGCTCCGCTGCTGGCGGCCCGGGTTCGGATTCCGGGTGCGCACCGACGCACCGCTTCTCCGGCCATGCTGAGGCCGCGTCCCACAGACAGCAACTAGAAGGATGTGCAACTATAACATACAACTGTCTACTGGGGCTTTGGGGGGAAAATAAATAAATAAAATCTTAAAAAAAAAAATGGAAGTGGCCTTTCTCGCCTTACGGCCCAGACTGCATGTCTTCAGCCTTCTAGCCAGATGTGAGCTGGGTGTGAGGAGTCCCTAGGGTAACTTATTTTACTGTGGTGCCGGCCTGCTGCCAGGAAGCATCTCTGGCCTCCTCAGCCTGATCTAGAACCTTCACTGTCCCCTCCTCTGACCTTCACTTATGAGTCAGTTGACCCCTGGGCTCAACTAGGTAGACAGTGGGACCAGTTCCCAGAAATGACTGGAAATGTCCTCAAACAGCCTTAAGGGTTATATCTACACTTGACAGAAGAGACGAGGCTTGGAGGCGGTAGGTCACGGGTACAGGGACTTGGGGGCAGCTCGGAGATGGAGCCAGCCTGTGCCAGAGCAGTTTGTACCCTCAGCCTAGGCCTCTGGCCTGGAAAGCCCCGGGGACCGCTGCCTCTCTCCCAAAGCCTCTTTCCAGCAGGACCTTCTCTTCACCCAGGCCTGGCTTATCCACTGTTTCTTGCTCTGACCACTTAGCATTTGGGCTCCTTTCCTGTGTGCTTCCTGAGGTGTCACTGGAGGGGCTCACATGAAGCAGCTGGATCCCAGGTGAGCCCAGGTGATGTTTCCTGGGGACACAGGAAGAATCCGGTGGTCATGGAGCTGTCTGCTGTCTGTGCCCTGGCCCCTCCGCCCTCCCTGGGCCCAGGTTGCGTGGGCTGCTCTCTTCTCTGCCTTCCTGCCAGCTCCCTGAGCATCCAGGACTGCAGGCCTTCTCTGTCCTTTGCTCAGAGGACATGGGGTGGGCCTTGGCCTCTGTAACCTCAGTCCTGGAACTCGTGTGGCCGCCCTGTGAAGATTCCATCTTGGCACCACTGCTCTCCCCGAGAATATCTGACTTTTCCTGATTGCTTGACCTGCCGTGGGAGCCTCACCTGGACACAGCTCCCCTCCGCACAGCACCTTCTCACCTGCTGGGCCAGCTCACCTGGGTGGGCGCTCGTGGCCAGGGCGAATCCTCAGCAGAGGTGCAGTTGCTACTGTCCAGTGACTGTGCTGAGCTCTCCTGCGAGGCACTCAGGTCGATTAAAATCAGTCTGGCAGTGAGCTGTGTTCACAGACGTGGGCCTGAGGAAGTTGATCTGTGGCGTTGGAGCGAATGCAAGGGCCTGTTTCTCTGCATCGTGGGATGCCATTTCTTCCTTACTGTGTAGGTGAGGTTTTCTTATTGTGTAGGCAAACCTTTCAGAGACTCGCTCTTCCGGTAGGGGACCAGGCTGCAGCTAATCTTGTCCTTTACAAGAAGCCTTGCCTGAGTTCTGTGGAATGCTGTTTTTGTGTTGATTTCTCAAGTGATTTGGCGTAGTTCCTTCTCACAGCAGCCGGCCTCACAGATGCTGGGATGGAGTCTCCTCGGGGCACCTGCGCCCGGGCCCCACGGGGCGCTCTGCTGCCCCTGCTCGGTGTGGGTGGGCAAGTCCCTGCCGAGTGGACAATTAGGGCTTCAGTAGCCAGCTCTCAGTGACCCTCCCTCTTCGGAGGTGGCTGGGTGTGGGCTCAGGCCCATGGGAGTGAGAGGCGAGTGGGGAAGCTGGCAGTTGTCTCTGGGTCTCCTTGTTTTCAGGGGAAGCTGGGAAATCAGACTGTGACCCAGGACCTCCAGACTTTGTTGTCTTGACCACTAGCTCAAGTTTTGGAAACACCCTTCAGGCCACACTGCAGGCCGGTCCTAGTGGAGTCGTGCTTCAGGATAGCCAGGCTGGATTTGAGGCTGGGACTTTGCAGGGTGCCGTGCCCAGGCTTCACCTTGGAGATGGTGGTTCTGCAGGTTTGCAGTGGGCCTGAATGGACCGTCATAGCTCCAGGGATTCTGGTGGCTATGGTGGAGACCCCCAGCTGGTGTATGAAGGGCTGTGCTGTTCTCAGCCCCTGAGGTTTGGGGTCTTCCGATGGGCCCAGCTGGTGCCTGTCGTTGGACTGTGGTTCTGGCCTCCAGGAGCTTGTGGCTGAGTTGGTGAGACAGTCAACACACTGGAAAAAGGTCAGCAGGAAGCCTGGGGCTTGTGGCTGGGTGAGCTAGATGGAGTGGGGGGTTTGGAGAAGAGAGTGGGTAGGAGTCCTGGGTCGGGGGTCAGTGAGGTCTGGGTCGGGAGTCAGTGAGGTCTGGGTCGGGGGTCATTGAGGTCTGGGTCGGGGGTCAGTGAGGTCTGGGTCGGGGATCAGTGAGGTCTGGGTCAGGGGGTCAGGGAGGCCTGCATTGGACATCAGGGTCTTAGGTTGGGCTAGGGGGCTATGCCTCTGGCCACTTCTCCTCCTCTCTGGTGGGAGGTGGGCGGAACTTGGTGCCCTGGCCCCCTGCTGCTCTGCTCACACCTTGGGCTGCTCTGGCCAGGACCCTCTCCCCCAGGCAGGAGGCAGGGCTGCTGACTCCTTGTGCAGAGCTGCCTGTCCTTCTCTGGACTCTGGAACGAGTCTTAGCGGGGAAGCAGGTGGTCTGGAAACTGTCTTGCTGGTGGCAGCAGAGCCCTCTGCAGAAAGGTGTGGGACACCTGGCCGTGGTGGCGGGAACTCAGAGGACATGCTCACCCTCTTCAGGGGGCCCTGGGTGGGGCCCCGTGATCCCTGGGGAGGGGAGTGTGGTGCTTGGAGAAGCCCTGCATGTGACTCTGAGGGGTCTGCCCTGCTGAGGGGTGTTGTGGGGCCCCAGGCCCTCCCCACCCCAGCTCCGTCCCACTGTGGAGCCTGGAGTTCTGGGCTTCAGTGCCATGGGGCCACCACGGTGTGAGGGGCTCTCCCGGGGGCTGCTCCGGACGTGGCCATGGGGGGCCCTGCGGGACCTCGTGGGAAGACGGACGTGACACCTGTGTCCAGGCTCCTTTGATCCCGTGCTTTCTTGATCCCCCAGGTTCGGAAGGCATTTCGAGTCTCCGCTTCTCTGGCAGAGCATCGTCATGATCCTGACTATGCTGCTGATGTTGAAGCTCTGCACCGAGGTCCGCGTGGCGAACGAGCTGAACGTGAAGCGCCGTTTCTTCGCAGGTTGGTGATCGGCCGCTTTGGGACAAAGCCTTAAATCAGCAGGCAAACCTCGCCTGTGCTCAGGGTGAAGCAGGAGCCACTCTCCTCCGGCGTTGTTGTCTGAGCAGCTTCTCTTTCAGCAAACAGCACTGTTACCGCAACTGATGTTAGCATTTTCAGTACGTTAAGTGACTCGAATTAAACAATTTGTAATGTGAGACAATTCAAGATAATAGTTTCTTCACTGGAATCTGGGCGAGTTATTAACTGATCTTAGTGTTTCATTCTTCGCTGTGACTGTCCTGACGGCAGATTCTGAATCGGGACGGGAGGGGCGTGTCTGTTGGTTTCTTCTCTGGCTGGATCCTGTCAGGGGAAGACGTTGCCCGAGGAGCAGTTTTCTCTCTGACTTTGTGATCGGTCCATAAAACATACCCTTTCAGTGTTACCCTTTACCTGCAGCTGAGTGATCTGGGTCTTCTCTCACGTACCTTGTAAACGTACACCAAGAGTCATGCCTTTGTGGGTCCAGTGAATCGCCACCTGGGGTGGGCGTGCGGGGTCCACATGCTTGGGCAGGACGAATGCTCAGTCCACGCCACTCCTTGGCTTTTTGGTGGCTCAGGAAATAGAAAATACTTCTTATTTTTGCTTTTTCCTTTGAAAAAGCTCTCTCCGAGCTGACGCCCTGTGTTTGGATGTGCGGCTGGTGGGCCTCGTGTGCGGGAGGGGATGCCTCACTTCCGCTTTTTCTCCAGTGACTGAATCTAGGGCAGCTCTTTGATTTTGCCAGCAGTTGTGTGTACAATCTCAGCGGTTGCTCAGAGCGGCGTTTTCTCCAGAGTCTGTTTGGTTCCGGGACTCCTGCGGACTTGAGGTCTTGCCCTCTATTTTTCCCTGCTGTCTCTTTTCTCCCCTTTGAGTGATCCTTTCCCTTGTGTAGCTTCTGTCTTTATGTGAGATCACGTGTGCTAATTTCAGTGTTGCAGCAAATAGGTCAGCCTCCAGCTCTGGGGAGTGGCCTGGACCAGTTAGTATCTCTTACACTGTAGAGATGACCTGTGTGTTTCTGTTCTTTCTCCCCATATTCCCTCCTCCCCTGGGATCTGTTCTCATCCCTCCCTGCTGGGATCTGGGAATTACCGTGGGTCCTGCCTGGAAAGCAGGCTTCTCTAACCCAATCCCATACGAGGTGAGGAGCTGGTCTCTGCAGTTTCTCTTAGATAACAGGCCCACCACCCCTTCACTCTGTGATCTGTGCCCCTTTGAGCCTCACCTTTAATTCGGCATGGGGTCTCATAGCCGAGCACAGAAGGGGCAGTGGAGAGTTATAGTAACCTTTTCGTCACCCAGGGAGGGATGAAAGGCCAGGAGACGGTGTGTGGTGCCCCAGTTGCTTAGTGCTCCCATGCCTTGGGCACTGAAACATGAGACTGGGTTTCACGACCTTGTTTGAAATAGTGTGTGGGCTCTGATGATATAGATGCCAGATACAGCAGGTGTGTGAGCCTCCGGGCCATGGAGCAGACTTAGAGTGTGACATTTATGTGACCTCGTTGAAATACAGAAAGCCTTCAATAGCACGTCTACACGCTCCCCGTCTGCAGATCCCACCAGCAGGGCTTTAGGTCAGCACAGGTGAGGCGAGGGCAGTGGGAGATTTTGTGAGTGGGCAGTTGTGCCTCCTCTGGCGGCCTCTCGTCAGGAAGATTCTTGATATGAAAAGGAGCGAGGTGGTGGATGTCTCATCATTCTCTCTTGACTTCTAGAGTTCTGTGTAAATTCTTCCAAAAGGAGTGTTTCTATTCGGGTTAACGAGGGTTGAGTTAAAATGGTGAATCCCAGTTTCCAGGGCTAGGGCTGGAATCTGGATTTTGACAAGCAACCCTCTCTGGTGAGCAGGTTAATGGCCCCCATACGTGTCCATGCCTGGGAACCTGTGGTGTGTCACCTCATGTGGCCAAGGGGCTTTGCAGATGTGCTTAAGGCTGGGCCTCAAGTGGGGAGGTTGTCCTGGATTCTCTGGGTGGGCCTGATGTTGTCACGGGCCCTTAGAGTGGAGGAGGAGGAAGAGCGGGGCGGAGGGGACAGCTGGCTTTGAAGGACGGGGCAGGGTCCTGAGCCAGAGGTGCAGTGGGCTCCGGCGGGCTCTTGAAACTGGAACAGCCCTCATCTTACAGCCGGCAAGGACAGGGGACCTTGGTCCTCCAGCCACAAGGAATTGAATTTTGCAAACAAGCTGAATGAGCAGAAACTGCATTCTTGCCTGGAGACTCCAGAAGGAATGTGTCCTGATTTTAGCCCAGTGAGACCTGTGTTGGACTTCTGGCCTCCCGAACTGTGAGATGATAAATCCGTGTTGTAGGAACTTGTTTTGGCAGCTAACACACTCCTCCCTAAGGGCTGCAGCACCTGGGCTAGATACGCACCTGTGGGTATGCGCCGACACGTGTCGGCCATTGACCTAAGGGCGGGACTTCACAGGCGTGCATGTGGGCAGGGGCTGCATGGCTCTGGCAGCTCACAGGTGGTGGCTGGACTGCAGGTGTCGCTGCCCGTCCCCGCCCAGCCTGCACTCCCTGTGCAGTCAGCTCTGGTGGAAGACGCAGGATGCAGGACAGAGCCTCATGACCCCTGGGCTCCCTGCTGGGCCCCAGACGGCCTCAGGTGGGGAATCCACTTCTGACGTGTTTGAGAATTCTTGAGATTTTCATAGTCAGCACTTTAAATACTTGAATCCAGATCAGATTTACATGTTTTCATGTCTACTACGTATGGGACACACAGGTCCCAGCATACCCCTAAGGGAAGCTTTTAGTGAAATGTGTGGGTTCGTTTCCTCTCATCTGCCAGAAGTTCGTGGGGGGTATGAAAAAACCAAACAGTTGAGGCTGGAAAGCTATGCGATCCCGTAAGCTGAGTGGAAAGCAGGCTGTCCTCTGCTTTCTGGGGGTTCTCGGCTGAGGCTCTGGGGAGGACGCCCGGCCTCAGGAGGCAGAGGTCCTGCGAACTGACCGTGCACAGTACAGTAACGCACGAAGAAAGTTCTGAATAGCCATGTTGCAGTGTTCTCATAGGATGGACAGTCTAAAAAGATAAAAGCTTAAATGTTTTCCAGCTGTCTTCTATGGAGGCTTTTAATTTTGAAGGTCACCAATTCAACTTGAAAGTTAAGGTTAAAGAAACATGAATAGTATTAAGGAGAAAAAGCGGTTACTTAAAAAATCAAATATGTAATTTGTCATAAAGAGCAGCACACGCTCATTGTAGCCATTTTGGGGACGATGGAGGAATACAAAGTAAAAATAAAATATTTTCCATCCCACTGTCCAGAGGTGACCACTTTGAACATTTGGGCACACTTTCCCAGTTTTTCTTTCTTTCTTTCATGTCAGTTTCCTGTCACAAAATAGGGATGATTTTCAAAATTAGGATCAAACTTTTTAAAATGTCTCTTTCCGCTGGAGGTTTTCTCCCTGCCCCTGCTCTAGGGGGTAAGGCTGGGTGTGGGGTGCCCCTTCTGCTCCTGGCCTCCACGGGGCAGGAGACCCAACCTCCCAGGTGGTCTGGGCCCCGGTGGGATGGTGTCCCCAGTGAGGATGATGCCTCTTCCCACCGAGGCCGCGTGTTGTGGGGAGAGATTGCCTAAAGAAGCTAATGTGTGCCCACCGGGTAACTGTGCATTAGGAGTGAATTTGGTCTGTCTCATATGTGCTGTATTTTTCCTTTTCGCTTTTTATGGTGGGGAATTTCAAACATACACAAGAGTAGGGAGAGCAGCATATGATCACATCCACCTCCAGCTGTTTTCTCAGACCCTGTTCACATCCTCTTCCTGCAGGATTTTGAAGCAAATCCTAGACATATTCCATTTGTAAATAGTTTTTAGTGTATCTTACAAGATAAAGACTTTAAAAAAACAGAACGCCCATGCTATTACCACCCATGAAAAATTAATAATCCCTTATTATCAAATACTCAATTTGTATGTGAGTTTCCAGCCGTCTCATCCATTTCCTGATCTTTTGGCAGGTTTGTTTCCTTGAATCAGGCCGCACTCTGTGGTTGTCGGTCATCTTTTTGTTGTTGTTGTTGATGATTTGTCTTTTAATCTACAGGTTCCCCCTGACTCCCCTTCCTCCTTGAAACTCGTCTGTTGCTGCAACGAGATAGTTTGCTCTGTGCACTCAGTGCTTAGTCAATGGTTGGTGGTTGGTGGACCCGCAGCAGCGCCCCCAGAGCGTGTTAGAAATGCAGAGTCTCCACCTCAGGCAGACCGCTGAACCAGACCTGCGTTTTGACAAGACTGCTGAGTGGCTCTCCTGCAGGTTGCACTTTGAGGAGCCCTGCGGAGGTGGCCCCGATCTGCCTTCTGCTGATGGCACCCGTGGTGGTCGCTCACATCTCTCTGTCTCTGGTTTGCCTGTGAAAGAACACTTTACAAAGAAAATGGGATTCAGAGGTCTGACCAGATCCAGGTGTGGTTCTTGTGTTTTCTGCAGGACTGTGGTGTGGTCCACCAGGAGAACGCATTGTCAGCTTGCCAATGCTTGGATGCCGGCAGCAGTGGGTGCTCGGTGCCTGGACCCATGAATCACTGGGGCTGCGGGGCGTGGGTGTGTCTTCGCACGGTCAGACTTAGCCCCTCTGTTAGCTGGAGTGCTTCTCTGAAGAGAGGATTCCCCACAAACTCGATTTGGTCATCCGGGGTGCCATTATAGAGGGAGGGCAGGCAGCTGCGGCCTCTTTCTCTTTTTGCCGGTTTTCAGAATTGGCTCCCTGGCATCTTGCAGTGGTGACCACGTTTGTGTTCACATTGCTCTGAAGGATGGATTCAACGTGTTTGATGACTTGCTCTTCATTGCCGTTATTGTCCTTGTTGAAGCCCCCGTTGCCCCTCTCTGGCCAGCAGGAGCCTCTTCATTTGGCTTCTGACCTGACACACACGAGTGGTCTCTCAGAACCCTGGTCTTGGTGTGACAGGGTGCCCCGTGCTCGCCATCTATGGTTCCTGCCCTGAG